CCACATGGTCTTGAAAGCATTCGCCAGGGGGAGGCCGCGAGGCAAGCGAACACCATCCTGGTTGAACGGCGCTTCTTGACGGTCGTTTGGCAGAGGCTCAAGAGAAGTGCAGTCGAGATAGACAAAGACGGCGACACCACGGACGACACGCGTGAACCAATACCAATGATCCTCGACCGTGACCGCTTGGGTGCCGCAGAAATTGCCGATTGATTGAGTGTCATAACACTTGCCATCAATAAGTGAACCTTCCGAGTAAGTTCCACATGACTCGTGCAGAATTGGGATGAAGGTGAAATATCCACATTCGTTATGCTCGAGGCTCTTGGAGTACTTGTAGCTCTGACTCTGACCAGTCTTGGTATTCCAGCCCCCAGTGATGCTAAATGGCGCAATCAAAAGTCAGTCTTCTGGGTTCCTAGCAGCGTCACAATTTCCTACTAACCCGAATGTCAGAGCTCCCTGTTTGAAATTGCCGTTCACCTTGGCCTTGACGTTGTAGCCGATATGTTTGGATTCGGTCAAGGTGCATGTCAGTCCTATTCACACACGGATCATCAGCTGTGAATTCCTAGCTATCCGCATAGGTGGCTGAGTGCTCCTTTCGCAGCTCCTTACCACCAGTGCACATGGGCATCGAGGAATAGGGTTTCTCCTGTCCATAGAAAAAATTGGTCCGCATCTCACAGTAGCTGGCGCAGCCGCCTTTGGGGTTGTCTTCACAATCCATGCCATTTGGTGCCATCTTGAACTTTGGCGGGCACACATCAGTGCCGTACTCGTGGTACAGGACGGGCATTGCACCGTCCCAGGCACAGATGTTGGCTTCCACAGTGGCTGAGACCGGCGAGAAGACGTGAGGAGACAAGATGAGGAAGGAGATGGACAAGACCAGGCAGAACTTGGCAGACATTGTGAAGATGTCCAAGCCCATTGTCGACGAATGAACGGAGATTCAAGGATGGATTGTTAATGGACGGGTGGGTGAAGCAAGCACAGTGAGAGACAGAACGACGGTTGGATTGATGGAGTGATCGAAGCCCAAATTGAGCTGTAGAGCTTCAGATGGGGAAGAGACAGAGACAGAGAAAGAGACAGATATAGAGATATTCAATTCTCAGTGACACATCCTCACTGCAAGATCCTCAATATTACAGCCAAGAAATGTAAACAATTCACTGCTTCGTCCTGGAATCCGGTGCTATGGAGGTATATCTGACACGAAAGAGGAAGCATTGCCGGGAAAATTCGATCAAGATGCCTTGTATAGAAGACATATCGCACAGTAAGTGGCGACGACAGCTGGCTGGGATCAGGCGGACAAGGAAGGAGCTGGTGCGGCATAGAATCGCAGTAGTCGATTGACGAATGAATCGATGGGGAAAAAGGTCTCCCTTTTTGTCCCCTTTTCCTTGTTTTGAATTAATGTGACTCTCCTACCACATGGGTCCTGCGATGCATCTGGGCCAGCCAGGTCTTGGAGGTGGCGATGCGGATACGCTTGCCGAAGAACATGAAGACGAGCAGCATGAGGTCGTTCGCCATGAGGACGCCGCAGAAGACGCCGGCGATGATGTTGACATAGCCACTCTCCAGGATCCAGTCGAGGATCTTGAACCCGAACCCGAACGAGATGGCCTGCTTACCCAGGTTCATGGCGATCAGCATTTCCGAGAGGTTCGCCGTGTAGCTGTCGACTGCGTAGGCGAGCGTGAAGGTGAAGTAAAAGTACGCCGACCAGTTGCACATGGCAACACCCGCAAAGTAGCCCATCCAGTGCAAGTTGTCCTGTGCCGTGTACCCATACACGATCAGCCCGGCAGGACCGATCAGCATCGCGGGCAAGAGGACCCCCAGTCGCATTTCAGCCTCCCTGATGCCGTTGTTCTTTTTCGTCAGATACGCCGCCAGGCGGTCCGACGATGTCGTGAATGGAATCGCCAGGATGTAACCCACGGCGTTGCCAACGGCGATCAAGCCGGAGTTGGTCTATATGTTCCCTCTAGGTCAGCTTTCTTTCTTCTCGGGGGCGGGAGGTGGGAGGCGGGGGGAAAAAAAATTAAATGAATAGGGCCTTTTCCCCGTGTAATGAGAACTTCTCGTGCTTACCTGACTCCAGTTATAAGGCGGAGCAACAATCTTCGCGGGGAAAGTGTAATTGAACGCTAGAGCGCCCAGGCCAATGTAGATGCCGTAGGTCGAGACCACCCAGAACACAGACGGCACGGCGTAGTACGTGAAGGATCGGGCCGCGGTCATAAAGAACGAGACATCGCGGTCGTACACGCCCCATGGCTTGAGTGTGGAAACGAACGACCTCCTGTTCGGTAGAGGGCTGGAAACCTCGTGCAGATCCGCCTCGACGCCCTTCTCGGTCGGTGAAGTCTCGACGGCGGCTCCGAGCATTCTTTTCATCTCCTCGCGCTTGTACCAGGTCTCCTCGACAAAGAAGAAGGCCAGGATGAAGAGAGCGCACGCGAACGCGAACTCGACGTAGAAGAACAGCCGCCACGAGTAGCCGCCCGCAAGCATGTAACCGGCATAGAGAGGTCCAGTGGCGCCCAAGCACAGGCAAACGGTGTAGTAGCCCAGCCTTTGACCACGCTCATGCAGGAAGAAGATGTCATTGACAAGCTGCACGGGGAGAGCCTCGCACACTCCAGAGCCAAATGCATGAATGATACGGCAAGCCATCAAAGTGCCGTACGAGTTGCATTGCGAAGAGCCAATCAGTCCAACAGCAAACTAGTCATTTTCGTTAGCTGGTGAGCAGATTTCGGGTAATGATATCTGAACCGACTTACAAAGATAATGGAAATCAGCATGATAGGTCGTCGGCCAAATTTGAGATAGGCAGGAACCAGGAGCAAGGAGCCAAAGCCATAAGCCAAATTGGGATATGAGATCAGGTTTGAAGCAGTGCCAGGGTCAATCCCAAAAGATTCCGCGTAGATGCCAATGTAGACCGAAGGACCGAGCAACGACGAGTTTCCCAGGAACGAATACGCCGCGCAGATGCATAGGATCATTGTCTTTTTGAAGTTGCCCCATTGGAGGGGATCGTTGGGGTCGTCTGCTGGCACCGGGAACAGAGCTTGTCCGTAGCCGGTATCATCGCCCTCTGAATACGAACAGTTAGTATATATTGTAGATTAGCTTTGGCGAAGCTTCAAGCCACTTGGCTGGAGCTAGACCTGGCACAGCGACGCACCCTGAGCTTGCAAGTTGACGGTTCCAGGAATTGCCTCCTCATGAGCATGGCTAGAGAGAAAAAAGGAAAATGTCAGTATGGTTAATCGACAACAAGACTAGACAGAACGGATTTTGACTTGCCTGTGCTTCAAATGGGGAGGACTGTGGCCGTGTTCGTGATCTCCCGTCATGATGGCAAATATCTATAGAAGCTCGGACTTTTGGGAGAGGATGAGAAACTTTTTGGGACCTCACCACGGGAAATGTCAAGGTCGAAGCCGCAAGAGGAACGTGGTTGATGGAGTGAAAGCGAAAGCCATGTGGCAGGGAGGAAGCAATCGACTTCATAAATGAAGCACAGATCTTCCCACCCGGCCATATTTTTTTGGGGCACCACCAAGGACCAAGATTGGTGTCACGCCGTTGCCGCCTCTCCCACTCTTCGCCTCCCTCTCTCTCTTGCTTGATATCCACTCGCCAGGGTCCTCCTCCGTACGAGGTACCTGTCAAACTGGTCAAGGAAGAATCGGTGGGGCGATGAGGCGGGGTCTCCGCTCCCCAAAGCAAACAAGAATGCAATGGGGCTTCTCATCTCAGTCTCTCTGGCCCCGGAAATACGCCAGTCTTGTGCCCAGTGGGCGGTGGGCGTGCAGGCGACGGTGGTGCAGGTAGCTCGCTGGGCGTCTTGACCTATACCGGCTGGTATGGCCGTTCAGGAGCGGGCTCCCGGCAGATACTAATGGGCCGCTAGGTCTCGGCACCATGGCACTCGAGGCCAGGATCTGGACGAACAGTCTGGAAGGGATCCTGGATCTGCCATCGGCCAACAACGTGGACTGCTAAATCTTTTTTACAAGCTGTCTGTGTTGGTCCGAGTCGTAGCATGCCGATTGCCACCTGCTCGATGGGTCGTCGATTTTCGCCAGCGTCCAGATCCCAGACCGCGTTAAAGGTCGTGACGATGATGACCATGGGCGATACACATACCTGTGCTCGGTAGTGGTACCTATGTACTTGTAGGTAGCCTCGATTCGGCCAGAAGATCGGGAAGGGGTCTGTCTGTGGTGGGTAAACTCAGGACTTCGGACGACTCCCCATCACCACCGTCTCATCCATGTCAGATTCCCTAGGAACTGACTGGTTGTCTTTTAACCCGGGTGCTAGCAAGGGTAATGCTGGGTACAGAGGGAGCTTTTCCACCAAATATTTGGGATCCGATCGTCCGAGTTGCCACATGTCTCTGTGTCTCCCATGTTTGGGTTTCCGAAAAGGTGTCCCCCCGGGCTAATGCGGCACGGAACATGCACCCCGTTATTGCAGAGCGCCTACTTGTAAGAAGTTCATGAAGCTCAAGCCGAATCGGGCAATGCCACCGATGGGTGAAGCCTTTGAAGTTGGTGGGCGATGCATAGCTTCTCCTTTTCCATGTGCCCTGCTCCACGCCATAGACCTCGAAATACAGCAATGTTAACAATGGCTTGTTTGGCTTGTATCCGCTTGGGGAATTGTATTTTTAGAAAGGCAATAACGTGTGTTGCGCAAATCCGATAGACTGATATGTTTATATATAAATGATATATGTATATCTTACACCGAACCCCGCCGGTCATATTTGTATCTCGCTGCCTGTACTGATCAGTAAAACTCCCCGGAGTTCCTGCCGTTTATGCATTGCAGCAAAATACCAATGCATCGCTTGTTTGTTCACAGGTTCGATCTGGCCCTGAAATCACAGCCGACTCTGTGTGGCTGGCTCACGCCTCATACCTGTTGCCGAGTTAGCGTTCAAAAGTAAAATCCAAATAGTTTCAACACAACCAAAAAAAAGGGCTCTGCTCACCTCTCCAAGCTTCCTCCGCCTTAGCTTCAGCATCCCAACTCCAGAGGAATTTCTGCATCTGTGGATCCCCCCATTTGTCATCGTTCGAGCCGCCCGAGGACAAGACTTTGAACTTCTGATCACGAGCCTCCTGCTCCGGGCCGTCGGGTAGGTGAAGCGCGGCCCTTGTCGACAGGCAGGATTGCTGGATGTGCTCGGCTCGGGCCTTCTGTGCCTTCTCGTACGCTTGAAGTGCAGCGGGGATTTCGTCCTTGGATGATATCGACGAGAGGACCACTCCAAGGGATGCTGCGTCTTCCACGGCTTGCGCTGCACCTTGCGCCACGTATGGTCTGTGGGAAATGGTCAGAACCAACTTTGCCAGGACGAACCAAGAGAGAAACTTACAACATGGGATGGCATGCGTCTCCCAAGAGTGCGCACGATCCTCTGACCCATCTTAGAAGAGGCATGTGCATGCACAATTTCCACTCCAAAACATCCCCCTCTGGGACCAGGTCCAACATCTTGATCAAGTTCGGATCCCATCCTTCATATTCCGACAGCAGATTCGTCTTCGATGTCACAGTGGTCCAGCTCTCATCAACTCGACCACGATCAGGATGGGCAAGCGCCACATTGCTGGGTTGTCGTTAGCACTGTATCTGGCCATATCCCAATAAAAGCGACATCTTCGAAAAAAGAAAATCCCCAGCAACAACGCACCCATATCCTCTGAGGAAAGACTTACTATATCTCATGATTCCGCACAGGATAGGCTATGATGTGTCGTCCTGGTCCGACCCATCGGATTGCCTTCTTCTCTTCGATGTAGGGCATCAAATCGGGGTAGTTGCTCAGCGTCTCTTTGGTGAGGACGACTCTAAACACCGCGTCGCCGGTCGGGATTGCGACATCTTTGTCGTCTCCCAGAATCTTCGCACGAACCATGGATTTGATACCGTCGGCCGCGAGCACCACATCTCCGTAGATTGTCGAACCGTCGTGGAGTTCCACCGCAGCCGGACTGAACTGGACGTTTTCGACCTTCGTGTTGGTCTGCAGTTTCACATTGGGAAGAGCCATGGCCTTCTCCAGCAAGGCCATTTGCAGGTCGGCACGGTGCACGACAAACTGCTCGCCATGCGCCTGGTTGATCGGAACGCTGCCGAGAAGAGATCCTCCCTGCCACCGCAAGATATGGATAGCACCGAGCGCAACACCGGTCCGTCGAACTTTGGCACCTGCTCCCCATCGATCCAGGAGCCGAAGCATGTTCGGTGCACACTGAATACCGGCTCCGACCTCCTGGATCTCGGGAGCAAACTCGATAATGTGGACATTGTGTCCTCGTTTCCCAAGAGCCAAAGCTGCAGCCAGGCCCCCAATTCCCGCCCTAGACGGTCAAATCTTCAGATTTTGTTTTGCGTAATTGTGCAAGGCGCTCGTCCGGGGAGATGAACATACCCTATTATTATCACCTTGAGAGGGACCTTCGCCGTAGCATACTGCTTCTCCCTATTCACTTCCGAAGCCACCCCCATCTGTGCTTTGTCCGACTTCTGAACAAGCCCTTGTCGACAAAGAGCTTAGAGATCAGCTACACACAGCGACAGACCGAACGCTGCTCGAGTCTGAATGGCTATACTGGTGGAAGATTTGGTTCGATTAGCAAAAAAGCGAGAATCCTCACCGTATCGCGTAACTTGGGTTGTGAATGGTGGGGGGCCCTCAGAACCTGTCACCAAGAAATAATTTGCAATAAATTTGATCATCGACGAACGAAAATGCAGCCGGACAATTAAAAGAGGTGAGTCGTGTCTCGTTCGATCTCGACGAGGCTTTGTCCGATTAGGAGGGCAATGGGACGCCCACTTGCTCGCTCGTGGGGCCACTTAGCTCGGCAGATAAAGCTGGCAAGCTTTGACCCCACGACATTTCCTCCAGCGTCCAGACAGCCTTGAGAGATATACGTCGGTGGTGACGGGAGGAGAGTGAAAAGGGCTCGACATGAATCGCTACAGGAGGCTATTCCGTTCGTACCTATCGGCCCGGACAAGCCCAAGCACACCCAACACACCTCATAGTGTTCATCTGCCGGAGGGGAGGTTTTCAGCGTCTTTCGCTTATTTCGGCACCATTGTACGAATCAATGGTCCTCGTCGTCATTAGTTCTTGAGGTCATTGATGCGTTAGGGGAGCGGCACGTTGAGGCATTCGTTCCTCGTTCCCAAGCTGTGGGAGTATGACGCTGCTTGCTTCGTGGAGCAAATCATTCTTGGTGTGCACAAACGGGAAGCAGCAAGACGATGTAAAATGATGCCCAACTCTCACCCTGATAGCGTGGTAACGTCTTTCACTACCTGCATCTCGTCTTGAGCCGCTCGGTGCAGGTGTCTTGTGAGAGTGAGAGAGGGTGAGAGAGGGTGAGAGAGAGACCAGGCGCTGTGTTTCCATTAAAATCCGATTTCAAATTCACAAATTAAAACTGGTACGTAGAGGTTGATCCAAAGGCGGATTGCGCAACATGTTTCCCATCCATTCGTGTCCCTCGTTCCCAATGCCATGAGAATCCCTCAAATGCAACAGAAGAAGATATCGGAAAAGCCAACAGGGGGAGTAAGATGCCAAAGGTTATAATACAGGGGGAGACGACGGCAAAAGTACCTTGGAAAGAAGTAGAAGAAAGACAGGTATCCCGACTCGTCAACACCGAACGCGTCCATCTCCTTGTGCCTGTCGCTCAACAAAAGAGAGCCGACACGAAGGGAAGATCAAGAGAAGATTAGGAGAAAAAAAAAAGGTGATGAAACCCCCAAGAAAAGGCCCACTGGTGCTTGTAATTCCACCTTTTCAATGCGTGCCGCTTCCAATCCACGCGCTTCACTGTGCACCCCCCCGACAAGAATGCTCAGCTGTCCATATCTTCAAAAAGACTGCTCGTATGCCGCCTCGCTATGCAACCCACTCCCAATGCATTCCATGCAACAGAAAACCCATAAACAAGATATCTGACTGTATGTGCCTTTGTCCTGTGCTGTCCTGTGATCCAAGTGGCAACCGAAGAACTGAGTATACAATTCTCAGAAGTAGTCGGATCCCGTCCAACTGATGCGTTAGAAGGGAGAAGGTCCCGTCACCGATTATCAATCTCAAGTGTCCTTTTTTCTCTTCCTTTTTTGGGGGTTTTAAAACTCAAAATCAATCGGGTCAAAGCCCTACTGAAACCCTTGTGTCCATTGTCCACCTCCCTGACCCTGACCCTGAGGCCCAGGCCATCCTTGTCCATGCTGAGGATTGGGCTGCATAAACTGGTTCTGTCCCCCCATGGGGTAGATGCTCCTATTTCCGATACCTACGTATGTTGCAGCAGCATTAATCGCCTGTAGTCCTGCTCCAGGCCCATAAAGCTGCTGTCCCCCAATTCCCCCAGAACTCCCTTGATGATGGAGCAATGGCATCTGTGGTGGCTGCATCTGTTGCGGATGCGGAGACGGACTAGCATGTGTGCCACCGGGCAGAGGCGAGGGAATTTGTCCTTGTGCCAAGCTGGGTGAGAATTGAGGTGTAGTCATGCGATGAAGAGCTGGGGACTGGTGAGGCTGCGGTGGAGGAGCTCCCCAGCTTTGTTGCTGTTGCTGTTGCTGCTGCTGTTGTTGCGGCTGCGGCTGCGGCTGCTGTTGTTGCTGCTGTTGTGGATTGATAGCGTGCGGGAATCCCCCACTTCCGAAGGGCAATGGCTGAGGTTGGGAAGAGGGTTGTGAGATGGGGAGGCTTGAGGACGATCTTTGAAAGCCCGGATGTTGCGGGGTATATTGTGAAGATTCGCGAGCGAAGGACTGCTGCAGATTTGGTTGTCGAATGGGCGATTGGATGGGAGGCTGTTGATGGGGGAAAGAAGGAGGATTCATCGAGGACGGCAGAGGCTGGGAAGAATGAGATATTGTGTTAGGCTGACTAGAAGGGACGTCGCTCGTGTTGAACCGGGGCGACGAGAACGGATGGGTTGTCGTTGTAACTTCGGCTTCTGCGGGAGGCGGTGTCGATATAGGCGGTTCATGCGGTCGGCGCCAATAGTCGTCGACAAGCCCACGCCGGTATCTATTTTGTTGATTAATGGTTTTGCTGTATTCGGCCGCATGGCTTGCTTGACTTGCCAATTCAACATCGGAACTTGATCGAGTGAGGTCCTGATATGGCGGGCCTGTTATGTCGTGCCTCGGCCGCACAATATCTTTGTACCTCGATTCGTAGGCAGGGTCGAAAGAAGCCATTTGAGCCATGGTTGATGCAATCCCGGAATGGAGAGCTGGCGGCTGTACAGCTCCGTAGCCGGGCCCATTGCTATAGACAATGTCACCGTAGGCCGCAACGACGCTAGCGCGAGCATTCAGCTGGTCCTGGGCTGCCGCTTCTCTGGCTCTCGCGGCTCCGGGTCGCTTCTCCCCAGCAGCATCCTGTTCGGTGAATCCTTGCTTGATCGCTTTGGCCTCCCAGTAATCATCTCGAACCCTTCGACCGTCTTTGATCACGCGACTGCCGAATTGACGAAACATCGAGCGCGCCGTCACCACGGCGATCTGGCGCGACCGGTACGAATATGGCAGGATTTCGCGGTTGACGAGCTCTTCCTTCTCTTTGACGCTAGCGATAATCTTGAAGAGAGAGCGGTTTTTGTTGAAGAGAAGATAGGAATCTCGGTACTGGAGTTGACGCGCGCACTCGGTCGCCAACATGAACAGCTTCTGCCCTCTCCCGGGAAGGGTAAACGTCCGGATCTTATACTCTCGTCCGCCGTGGAGATAGCCTAGCTGGTCCACCTTTTTCTCGCCCGCCTCGTCGTACTCGCGCGGCACATATTCATCTCCTTCAGGTTGCAGCACGTCGCTGGTATGGTCCCTTACTGTCGGTAGAGCTTTGATGGTCGATTTGGGAAGAGTCCGCGGCGGCGATGCTTGCACCGGCGTCGAGGCTGGTGGTTGTGCGCTTGCTTGATTTCTGGGTGTCTGGTTCAGCTCTGGTGAGGTTTGGCTGGAAGGTGTTGGGAGAGCGTCGACGTTGGCAGTGAAGTCTCCAGAAGTTCTGGGCGTTTTTGACGGCCGACCACGTTTGCGCGGGCCTGGAAATTGGGGGCGTTAGCACATTCTGGCGTATCAAAAAGCTGCACCGCCACTCACCATCATCGTCGCCTGGATGATATTCGCCATATTGCTCGGGAGATCGGCTTCGTTTGATGCCCCGCGGGCCTGACTCGTTTGATGACTGTATCAATCCACCTGTTACACGCAGGCAGTCAGCGAAGGTACGCGACAGAGAGTTTCAATCAAGGAAAGGGTCGAGCGATGTCGATGATGCGCCCATGCCATCCACGAGTCAAACCTCGACGGACGCATGCGTGATGATGTCCCAAGTGGTCAGGCTACGAAACCAATAGAAAATGACATACCACTAGCGTTCAAAGCTGCAGGATCGATGGTTCCTGCACCATCGCTCATGTCGCCGACACCATTCAAAGCATTTGTAGGCTGGCGAGTAGGTGGATAAATGGACATTTCAACACCGCGGCGATGAAATGATGGTGGCGGTGTTGATGGGTGGAGGAGACGGTTGTGGTGGTGATGATGCGCAGGCTCTGCACCCGCATCAGCACGCCAGGAGCTGCTAGGCAGCACAGAGCTGGGTGACCAAAACTTGAAGATTGGAGGGAGGGTGCCTGCGTCTGATCAGTGCCTCAGCTCCCCGCCTCTTGAGCAATGTGCGACAATAGGAATATTGAAGTGCGACGACGACGGCGACGGCAGCAGAAAGCAAAGCCAGGTGCGGGAGTAAGGCGTGCACAGGTGCAGAGCACGGTTGCAGGCGTGCAGCAAAAGTAAAGTTAGCGAGGATGACGAGGGTTATGCTGGAACCAGTGGCCGCGGCGGAAGGTAGATTGGTGGAGGTGGACGGCAAAGGATGCAGCTGGGAACTGGGGGGAGTTTTAGTGCCGCAGTAGTGGCCCTCTGTGCCAAAAAAGAGGTGCTGTTGGTCGGCTGGTTACGCCAGTCGGTCGGTCAGTGATGAGCTTTTTGATCTGTGAGCTGCCTGTCGCAAAGGCGCGGAAGTACAAGAGAAGAGCGGGAGATGGCGCTCGGGGCTTGCAGATGCAAGTCAAGAAATGGTCTGTTCCTTTTTTCCCCCTCTCTGTCTTCTCCCTGGAACCGGCTCTTTCGCTGACTGGTTCCTCGTTTCCCCTTGTGTCTAGGCACCGTCAGTCAGTCAAAATTGGTGGTTCCCCCGCCCGAAACTGGTCAGTGTGTTCGTAAAATGACGACTTTTTGCCGAGGAGATTCGACTTTTGGGCGGGCTTCGGGACGCGCAGGCCAATTGTTTAGTGGTGGCGATAGCCCAACGATGGCACGTTAGGATCAGTTTGTGAACCGAGTTCCCGTGGAGTGACTGGAAGACCAGGTTGATGACGGTTGGATGGAGATGGAATCTGGGGAATGTGCGATCAGACTGAGAATGATGATGATGAAGGATAAAAATGGAAATGGATGAGAAGGCGAAAGGCGAGATGACGGCTTGATTTGATTGCTGATGGGTAAGGTTGTGGTCTGGGACGACGCGGGCTTGAAAAAGAGAGCCACCAGAGCCGGATGATTGATTGTGTGAACCCTGACTGTACGTAGTAATGAGCACTTTGGGGGATGACCGATTCGACATTTGCTTGCGGCGAGAGACACGGCGAGGCCTGAACCAGGCAGGAATTGGTGCCGAGTGTCTAAGCTTAAGGCGGGCGTCGCTGCAGGTATGTGTTCCAGGCAAAGAGGTTTAGTCTATCTCCGTATCCCTGTTACGCTTGAATGGGCTGGTGGATCTCCCTCGACTGAACCACACGATACACTTTTGGGAGGGTGGATGTTGTTTTGAGGTATTTCCGCAGTGCTGCCGGGGCAGCTAGGCGATTAGGCTGGCGCCGCAGGGATAGAACGGATCGTGGTGACCGGCGAGGATGAGGCGCACCGTCTCTCAATGATTTGAGAATTGTTTTCGATCGAAGTGGATTGGGCTGGACGAGATTGGACTGGCAGGGAGTAGAGCCTCGCAGCAGAGAGGTGCGGGAGATGTGCGGCCAGACAATGCGCCAGATGGCGACAAAGGTGTGGAAGGACGAAAGAAATGGAGGGACGGAGAGCGGGGAGGGCGAGGGTGTGTGGTTGAGCGTAAAGTGTGTGAGTGGGAAGCAGTAAGCCACTACTACAAGACAGAGACAGAGACGGGTTCGGGTCGGTGGTCGACTCGGGGAACTGGTGGGGACCCAAGTCTGTCAAGGGGTCAAAGGACGAGCTGACGATGATAGTATCAATCAAATGCAATCGCACAGTAGCTTTGATACTTCTGATGATACTTTTGGTTTTTGGGGCTGCGTGCGCGTGGTGCGTGCGTGCGTGCGGGAAGCATATGCAGATGCTTGATGCAGCGGCGGCGACGGCAGCGTGCGATTGATGCAGGCAGGGAGCGAGATACGGTTTGGGCGGCACATGCGACTACTAGGGTTGCTCTAACTAAAGTAGAAGGTTGGGGGGGGGGGGGGGGGGGGGGGGGGGGGGGGGGGGGGGGGGGGGGGGGGGGGGGGGGGAAGGTGGAACGGGGGAGGGAGTTTAGAATAGCAGTCGAAGGGAGAAGACGCCGGGCAGCGAACAGCCAAACAGGGAACAGGGGTGGTGCCTGCCTAGCCTGGCAGCCTAGGGAGGTACGAACTGCACAATTGATATACGGTACGACGTCAACTTCTGCAGACTGGGTAGTCGCTCTCGTCTTCTTGAACTGTACGTAGGCACCTAGTACCCAAGGATGGTATACCCGGACATAGTTTTACCCATTTCTTAGGTAGGGGTGGTAGTTGGGGCATTCTTGGGCTCACTCTTGCCTGCAACAAATAGAGCCTACCTACCTGCCTACAAGTCGGTACCTAGGTACTTAGGTATGTACCTACATAGCTGGGCGCTGGTGGGTGCTTGGAGGCATTGAAACTGACTCGGGCTGCAGCAAAAGGCTTCCGGTGACGAGCCGGGGTCCACCCAGTTAGGCAGTCAGGTGGGTGCTGTGGGCGCGGTGCGCGTAGTGGCCAGTGACCACTGACCACTGACCAGAGTTGTAGCTGATGACTCCAATGACTCTATTAGGCTCCCGTTAGTATTGAGTGTCTTTCATCATCCATCGAGGCTCCCCAAACTCAATCGTCCTTTAATGCTGCTAACAAGTCTGCTGTCTCTCGGGTCTTAAAATCCTGGCTGTGCCCGGAACGAGCGAACTGGGAGCATAACGCGAGCAACGCGAGCTAGACTTTAGCACGTCTTCTTTTCTCTCTCTCATCCTCTCATCCTCTCACTCCAGCGCAGCCTGCCGAACCCATCCCACCATTCAGCTTGCGACGCCCTGTCCTCGTTCCGGCATCTCAGGTCATCTGCCCCTCCAAAAGACTCGTCCCCTCCCATACCCCTGTCTCGTGGCGGAAATGCCTATCCATGGTTCCCTTTTCCTTCGGTCATGGCGACCAGCTAGTGCCATGGCTGCCATCCACTCATTATACGGCATCCGGACGAGCCTAGGCAACCTGCGAACCTGTGAGCAGTCGCTAGGCTAGCCCTTCCCTTCCAGATATGCTCGATTCCCAAACAGCGCAAAGCTTTAGTGCTCCGGTTCGAGAAATTCTTGATTTCGGCTGCGATCGAGTCGGCGAGTGACCTACAAGCCATCTGTCAGCTGATACCATTGGCCAATCACTCCAAGATCCCCATGACCATCCTGTGACCACTCAGCTTCGCAACTGCGCACCCACTTGCGTAACCATTGCCCTCAGCGCCCTGACTGTATCTCCACACCACCACCACCTTCTTCTCTTCCTCCACCTTCCTCTACGTCCAACGTCCTCCACGCGAACTTCCCTAGCTAGGGCATCTTTCGTCCAAGCCACCAAATACACACACGTAAGTACTCGATTGACTCTTCTCGTACCAAGTACTGTGTAAGCCCACAAGCGGATGGTCCACGGAAGCAATGCTCATTCAGGAATCCGTCCTTCTTCAATCCAGACTGGCCCATGACCCTCCGCCCAGCATGCTGGACTCGAAGTGTCATATTTCTTGCACTCATCTCTTTCTGGCAGTACAGTGTGTGCTCATATCACTGACAATCCGAAAGAGACTGGTATCCTGAGTAGACTGGAATCTCCGCCGTATTTTTGCTTACTCTGGTTTTTATTCCATTACAAGTTCGAAACTGCGAGCTTGTAGTTGGCTTGCGTCGTGCATCCAGCCGTGGAGTCTCGCCGATTCAGGTTATTTCCTCGCCATGACCGGACCTCGTTTTCGCAAAAAGCTGGCCTTCTCGTAGTCTAGACTATATTTTCCGGGCCTCACCCTGACGAATCATGCTCTCTTGTGACCGCGTCCACCGAGACAAGCGCGAAATTTGTCACGTCTGAGGCGACTGCCATGGTGCCTCGAATTCCAGCTGAACTTTGACAAGAATGAACCAAAGCGCCCAGTGGCCCGAGCGTCAAGACGTTCACCTCGACCCTGACCAGCTCCGGCTCTCCCTAGCTATGGGGCTTCCCACTCGGCCTTACATCTGACAAGGACGAAGCTGGACCGTCGGTCGACCTGGAAGATTCCCCTTCCCGATAAGGCTAACGATGGAGTCAGCAGAGAAAAAGATGTCTACCGACTGTAGAGCTGGACCTGAGTCTGTCTCATGGAAGCACTCTGAATTGACCTTGTTGGAGGGGAAAAGAACCGAGACCATGGGTATACTTGGCGGAGATGGCTGAGCTGCTTGACAAACCAGAATTTTGTCTTCTTACCTCTTACCTCACTGCTAGTAATCGAAACCTTGCGCTTAATAGAAGGGGCCTGGTAATATCTGGCAACCACTGTTTCTGAGATAATATTAGAGGCATGTTCGGAGCACCCTCTTCCTTCTTGTGGCGGAAGGGAGCGGTTTCGGTCACATACTTCTGACAGGCGGTGTGAGTATGGGGACGAGAGGCTACTCGCGACTCGCTCACCCCGGAGTGCTTCGGATAATCTGCTGCTGTGAAGATCAGGCGTTGTTTCCCTCCGAGGTCAACACAGAGAACATTGGTTCTACGGCTACACTGAATAGACACAGTCCCAGGTGGCCGAGCCAACAGTTAGAGCTTCAAACAAACATGACATCCATACGGGGATCAGCGGCAATGGAAAGGGATACTTTGAAGGGCCGCAAGGCTTTCAAACCCCCATCCCTCCCTCCTAAAAAAAAAGACAATGGGTAATTAGTCTTTAGACGCTCAGGTCCGACTTCGAGAATACCATACTAGGGAGCTTAAGACAATGGTGGCTCTTTCTAGCATGGCTAGGTTTCTGATGCACACACTTAGCGATTGGTGTTAAAACGAGCCACCTGGAACCGCTGATCTGGCAAGGCTAGTGGCCTTGGAATCGCCCGAGATCAAATGGTGTCTGGGGACGGCCTTCGGCCCGCCCCCGGCTTGTACATGCCCGCAGTTTGTTGAGCATGGTGGTGTGGTCTTCAGCAACAACAAGCGAGTGCGATCGGCGTTGTGCATTTCCTAGAACCCTTCTCCGAAAGGCCGGGTAGCCTGACCCTGGCTTGCCTGGCACCTAGCCTGAAGGGTCGGAGCAATTGGCAAACAGGACCATCTGAACTTCTGTTTGGTTCAAATTGGTTCGGATTCTGGTTTTAGTTGCAGTTCCGTATCTGAGGCAGAGATACTGTCATTATTCGACAGGTGGATCGTTGAACTTGGTTTCGTCTTGTCGTAGTCTGAGATGATGCTCAGTAGAGCTATGGCACTCGGATCTGGCGTTGAAATTGGAACCTCAAGACGATGGTGATCGAGGCCCTTGATCTTGGGTGTGACCCCTTCGACACCATCCCTCCACGAAGACTGGAGGAGCTGGGCCCCATCGGCGTGGTGACGCCTCGGGAGAGACGATGCGAGCCGCACTTGCAGCCCACAGCCCACTTCAGCAGGGCACCTTATTGCTAGTTCTTCAATTGACGTGCATGTGGTCATGCAAGATGGCCCCCCCCCCCCCCCCCCCC